GTTTTTTCCAAAAAATTTTATTGTTTTTTTTGGGCAAGGTTTTTCCAGGGGGGGGGGCCCATTCGGGCCGGTTTTTCCCCAGGGATTGGGGGGCCCCCTTTCGGATTAGGGGATTTTTGGGGGTTTCGTTTTTTACAAAAAATTTTCCCGGGGGTTTCACGGGGCCTCGGGTGTTTTTCACCCAGGTTAATTTGGGGCCCCCAAATTGGGTTCGGGTCCATTTTTCCCGAAGGGGTCAAAATTTTTTTCGGTGTCAAGGGGGCATTCCCCCAATGATTTTTTGTGTTTCTTTTCCCCGTTTTAAAGCCCCCCCTTTTTTACAAACTTTTGGCGGGGGGGTGGGAGGGAACAATGGATGTTGGGTCTTTGGGGGAAAAGGCCCCGCCCTTTGGGGGCCGCGGGGTCAATGTTTTAACACCCAAGGGGGAAAACCCAGGGGTCCCCCCCCCCCCCCCCCCCCTGTTGCATTCTGCTTTCCGGCGTGCCCCTGCAGCATGATGCCCCTCTTCATCGCCAACTTCGGCAGCACCCTTGACGAACTCGGCGAGCCTGTGAGGGATAGCGACGAGAAAACGGTCCTGGAGAGCGTGGCGAGCTTCTGCATCCTCTTCGGCATCATCGGCCTCGTCGCCGGGGTGGTCGGGTTCGTCCTGGTAGCCCTTTGGAGTATCTCCGGAGAACGCCAGGTGGGTGTGGGTGTATCGGTGTTGTGTGCATCGACCACTCTACATAGCCGACTGATCATTGAGAATTCAGTCTCGTAGCTGGAATAAGATGCGTGTGTATGTGCGTGTTTTATTGGTAGCATCGACCGCGATAACCGGCTGACCAACTAGAAGACGCCATTCTTGTATGATAGCGGGATAATGAACGGAAGGAACGAAGACGCTTTCCATTCAAAGATTGAAAGGGTTATACCGGTAGGGGCGGTGCAGGTTTGAACTACTACAAGGATCCAATACTGTGTGTTTGTCTGTGCTACGGTGTTGAGAAGCAGAGCCGCGCCTTCCGGGTGACCAATCAAATTTCGCTGCTGTCGTGTGGCATGAGAGGCATAAGGAGTACTTCCAGTGAAACGCGAGTAGAACTGCAAGAGTTCGGTACACGAAGTCGCGCACGCCGACCGCAACCACTTTTTTTCGTCGTCATTTTTTTTGTCACGTTTTGGTCGTGGATTGTTTTCCTCATTTTGGTCGTTTATTGTTTTTTTCTTTCTTGTTGCTGTTGCAGGCGCTACGCATGCGGAGGGAATACGTGAAGTGCATCCTGAAGCAGGACATCGGATGGTTCGACGAGCACCCCGCGGGGCAGCTTCCCACGGCCGTCACCGCTAACATGGCAAAGGTGCAGGACGGCTTGGGCAGGAAGATCGGGGACATCGTCCTCAACGGCCTCAGCGGTGAGTAGTAGTATACGGGCCCTCGGTCAAGAAAAAATTCTTAAAGTAAAAATATGAAACACTAAGAATACGAAACACTTGTACTGTAGGTCTAAAGACACATAGATCAGCGGTGGATTCTACACTAGGATCTAAATATCCACCTGTTCTCCGACGGAAAAAGTGGCGATGAAATAAGAAGCTGGGCCTCGACCCGATTTTTGGTGTTTGTTTATCTGCGGGTCCGTGTCGAATACCATGCTGGCATCGGTGATGATGATGGCGGCGGTGGTGGTGGTGGTTGTGGTGATGCTGCTGGTCCTGGTGCTGGTCAGCGCACAGATATCGTTGCCCTTGTTGGTGTTGCCGCGGTTCCTCGTGTGAGCCTTGTGTTTTCATCGGTGCTTGGTTCCGTGCGTGCGGTGTCAAATTTGCAGGCATTGCCCTGCTTGTCACCGGGCTCATCATCAACTGGGAGCTCGGGCTGGTGATGCTGGCGTGCGTTCCCTTCATCGGTGGAAGCGTTGCTGTCCTGTCCGCGCTCATGTCCAGCAGCACTCAGGAGGGGAACGATCACTACTCCAAGGCGGGCGGTGTTGCCACGGAGGTATGTGTGTATGTGTTCGTCTTCTTTGTTTGCATCGACCGCGCTAACCGGCTGACGTCAGTCTCAGCGCGGTGGAAAATACAAAATGCTGCTATTGGCCACGATCTGGGACCCTGCGTCCGAGTGTCATGGGGAGCCTACGCTACTCTCCGGATTAGGACAGATACCGTAGATTTAACGGAAGAGGGCTGGATGTGTTTGCCATGGCTGCTACTACTCTGGAGTCGCGTGCGTTTTGTGTGTGTGTGTGATTTTTTAGCTGTGTTACATTACCTCGACCGCCCTAAACGGCTGAACTATGTGTGTGCGACTTTTTTTTTCGCAAGTGATGATGTTGTCGTTATTCTGCAACTTTATGGTTCTTTCCTTGTTTTTTTTTCTCTCGTTTTTGGGCTCCAGGTCCTCAGCGGCATCCGCACGGTGGCCTCGCTCAACTCCGAGGAGATCGAGCTGAAGCGCTACGGCAAGCACCTGGACGGAGCCTACCACGCCGGGGTGAAGGAGGGCATGGCCAAGGGTCTCGGCAACGGCATGCTCTTCACCTCCTTCTACATGAGCTATGCTCTCGCCTTCTGGTTTGGCACGAAGCAGGTCAGCAGTACAACAGCAAATGCGGCGATTGGTTAATCCAAGGCGTGCAAACGGTGGTGTATACAAGCTACATGCAGACAGGGCCGGAATTGTGCAGGTTTCCGTTCACACCAATTCGAGGATTGGTTAGGCGTGTACCAAGTATTATTGATTCTCAACATTGAGGCTCAGTCTTTCACCAAAATGAAGAATATGGAGTTACAAAACACAGCTAGGTCAGCGGTGGATCCTATACTCCAGTATCATGAAATACGGTATCCTGTGCTCGACGTTCACTCCAGCTCCACCTATTTTCGCCCATGAACGCGCTCTTGGTTTTTTACACAATACAACACGCGTCTTTTCTCCCCTTGTTTGGTGGTCGGTTGAGAAACAAAAGTATCCATCCGCACACACACACACTAGTGCCGAAGGTCATTCCTTCTTTCTTTTTCTGAACAAAACAGATTCATTTCTTCCACAGACAAGAGTCCGGGACAGGTTACCAATGATTCACACCAGGGTTGAACGACCCGTTTTGCGCGGGCTTGTTCTTAATTACCCCGCGCTATGCAACCAATGGGTTCGACAGGTGGCTGACGGGGACGGACGCTCAGGAGGGGACGTTTTGGCTGCTATCTTCGCCGTCCTCATGGGCTCGATGATGTTCGGCCAGACCGCCCCCGGCATCGCCGCCCTGGGCGTCGCCCGCGGGGCCGCCGTGGAGGTGTTCGAGGTTCTTGACCGCGTGCCCCCGATCGACTCGTCCTCGGAGAAGGGGCTCAAGCCCGCGAGCGTGGAGGGGCAGGTGTTGTTCGACAGCGTCGGCTTCAGCTACGTGAGTTTTTGCGTGGGCCTGTGTTTTCTTGCTGGGTACGTTTGTTGGAGTGTTGTTGTGGCTGTGTGGTTTGGGGCGGCGACCATCCTCGCGTTAGGGGAAATTCCACCAGCAACAGTCTACGTTTGTAGCGGAAAGAACCTGCGGAACACGAAAGTTAGGCATTTTGCATTCGTGAACAACCCTGATGTTCTTCGTTGTCTCCCCTCTCTGTCTGCCTGTCTTTCTCTCTCTCTCTAACTCTCTCTCAAGCACATGCACACGCTTTCGCCCTCTCTCTTGTCACCCTCCCCTCTCTTGTTGCCCTTCTTACCCTCTTCCTGAACCAAAACGGGCAACCGCTCCTCACAGCCGGCCCGGCCGAACGACGTGGTGTACGGCTCCCTCAGCCTGGAGGTAGCAGTCGGCAAGACCCTAGCCCTTGTCGGACCTTCCGGCGGAGGAAAGTCCACCATAACCAAGCTGCTGTTGCGATTCTACGACCCCACTTCGGGTACCGTGACTCTCGACGGCACAGACATCAAGTCTCTCAACGTCGCCTGGTATAGGCAGCGGGTGCGTTACTCTGGTTGTACTTCAACAAATTCTGTCTATCACAATTCCCATCTCTATCCATTGATGAGGGTCTGTTAATCGGATAATTTTGCGACGAGTTCATAGCGTTAACGGAACACTAATCTGCTAGGGTAACGATAGAGTGGTAGGTTAGGGATGTGATGAAGACCGATCTTCGGCGTTTATTGTCCCTTCCGTTCTCGTCTTCGTTGGTGATTGTTGCTGATTTCTTTTGCCTCTCGAGCGTTGTTTTTAGTCCAATGTCGTCGTTCACTTTTTTTTTTCCCACCTATTTGTGCATATGCATCGATTGTGCCAGATCGGCTACGTCGGGCAAGAGCCGGTGCTATTCGCCGGAACGATCGCGCTCAACATCGCCAACGGCAAGCTGGGGTCCACGCAGGATGAAAGTGAGACACCCCCGCCCGTTACCCCCTCTCTCTCTTCATTTTGTTCTGTTCTTATTGCGGTCCGATTCTTTGGTGCATTCCCGCATCATTCCCAAGTAACGACCGCTTGGTGTCAAGCTTTGCCCCGTGCCTGTGGAGGTAGATGTCGCGTTGTATGTGTCTACCCTTGTCTCTCGTCCTTCGGTAAGGGTTGTGTATTTCTCCTCTCCCAGCCTTGTCTGTATCAAACCCCGGTACCGCTGTCGTTGTGCTCTGGATGTTTGCGTTGCTGCAGACGCTGGCAGTCTACCACAGCGGCAGTCGGCCTTGAGAGACCCACTGAGTTTCGGCGATAGCCATGATACACACCACAATGTAGCTGAGCCTAACAGCGGCAGATATCTTTTTTGTGCCCTCTTTCCCGCGGTGCAGGGCGCTCCGTTGACCCTGAACGTTTCGTGTACACGTAGCATGCACCTCGCCATGTACACTTATTGACACATGCCAATCGAGCGTTTTTGGCCCCGTCGAGCGTACGTCCAGCTCCTCTTCTTCCGTCTCCTTAATTTTATGGTTTTTTTAAGGACCGCCTACGCAGTTTTATTTTAGTATCTAGAGAAAAATAATAGGGAGGGGGCACGCAGACCCTAACCCTAACCCCAACCCAACCAAAGCACGGATTGAATGATTTTATCCCATGTGTTTTTTTTAATCAATTTTGATGCGTACACTACTGAATTTTTTCCTCCCCCTCGCCCTCCTCATCTTGGTCCCCTTCCTCCGGACACGCCGCCTGCTCCTCCGTCTCGGCTCTTCGTTCCGCTGCTTTTGCATGGCATGGTATGGTATGTCATGACAGTCATCACCGCCGCTAAGGCCGCCAACGCGCACGAGTTCATCAAGGTGAGCACCCTGGTCTGTGGCGCGTTCGGGTCTGTTTGTTTGCGCATGGGGTCTGCGCGTGTTGCGCGTGTACCTCGCACTAGCTGCCATGTACCGTTTTGTATTGTCAAAAGATCCGTACCGTGCCTGCTTTTGTGTTTTTTTTTCGGCACATGCTTGCATACAGTGAGCGGCCGCACTGACGGGTTTTGGACGGTTAAGAAATTGACTGAAAATCTACGATTCTGAGCGTGAGTCAACTTGAATATATTTCGTCTGTGTGAAGCGGTTTGGCGGTCTTGTACAGGGTTACCGGCCGTATGTTCGCAGCCTTGTACGAGTATGAGACAACTTGAGCATTCGCTCCATGTGTGTCACGCGAATTCATGGCGTTATTCAGGGACCACTCTTGTACAGGGACCACTACTCCCTTGGTAGGATCCATTTACAGCTGTAACTCGCTCCTTACGCTCGATCGAATGATCCACCCGCATGGATTATGGCGTCTCGCAGAGCTTACCGGCTTTCATGCAGGAGTTAGGGACCATTGACTCGCGTATCACGCTCGATACCGATTGACCCGCATGGCTTTGTGACGTCGTCTGTCTCGAGCGCAGAGTTTGCTGGCTCTTATACAGGCCTTACTATTGACTTGCTTCGTAAGCCCAATCGATTGACCCGCATAGGTGATGACGATGTCTCTGTCGCAGAGCTTGCCGGCTCTTTCACAGGGACCACTCTCATTCAACCTTTGCATACAACCACTGCTGGTAACTGGCTTCGTACACTCGACCGATTAACCCGCATGGCTTATCAAGTCTCGCCGAGCTTCCCGCTTCTTATACAGGGGTCAACCGCCACTACTCTTGACTCTCTACGTAAGCTCAATCGATGGACCCGCATGGCTGATGACGTCGTCTGTCTCTCTCGATCGCGGCAGAGCTTTCCGGAGGGCTACAACACAGGAGTCGGAGAGGGAGGGTTCCAGCTGTCCGGAGGCCAGAAGCAGCGCATCGCCATCGCCCGTGCGATCATCAAGGACCCGGCCATCCTGCTCCTTGACGAGGCCACGTCTGCCCTCGACTCCGAGAGCGAGAAGGTGAGCTTTGCTCGTACCATTGGGGTTGGTGCTGGTGCGAACCACGGCATGAATATTTGGTCGTTTCTTTTAAGTCTCGTCAGCTGTTGTTGTTGTTGTCGTTGTCGTTGTTGTTGTTGTTGTTGCGTAAATGGCAGCGCATTACAGACTTGCCCTGCAGGACTTTTGTCGTTTGCTCCTCCATGCCCGTAAGTCTTGATGCCGTGGTGAGAGCGACGCCGCTGGACGTACTGCGTACGCCTGTCGAAACCAGTAGACAAGACACACAGACATGACCACAGGACAGAGAAGGGGCTCTACCGTATACCGTACATCACGTGACCTTTATTTTGTCTTGTTCAAGTTTCCTAGAAGCCTGGACCCAAACAACCACAATTTTTTTTTCTTTGCATGACAGGTGGTGCAAGCCGCCCTGGACGAGCTCCACAAGGACAAGCCCCGCACGACGGTGACCATCGCCCACCGTCTATCCACCATCCGAGGCGCTGACAAGATCGCCGTTATCGACAAGGGCGTCGTAGAGCTGGGAACTCATTCTGAGCTCCTCGCCCTCAACGGAGTCTACCACATGCTGTGTACTAGCCAGGTAGGGCGAACAGGGGCTGGGGGTTGAGCGGGGGGGGGGGGGGGGGGGGGGGGGCCCAAAAAGGCCCCAAAGGGGGGGGGGGGGGCCCCCAAATCCCCCCCCACGGGGGGGTTTTTCCCCCCCAAAACGCCCCCCCCGGGGGGGAAAAAAGGGGGATTTAACCCCCCCCCCGGGGTTTTTTTTTTTGGCGGGGCAAAAATTTGCGGAAAAAACCAAAAAAAGGCCCCTGGGGTCCCCCCCCCCCCTTAAAAAAGTGGGGGGGGGGGGGTCTTCCAACCCCCGGGGGGCCCCCAACACAAAAAAACCCC